ACATTAGCTTGACCGCGCAGTGCCCCAAATTTGCAGTAAGAGGACCGACCAAGCCTCTTCTTCCATCTCCCTGTTACAAAAATCAATGCCGTGTACACGTCCACTGATAGGAGACGTGGAAGGTATTAAACTGAACAGTCTCTATTCTGCTCTTGCATTTCTATTTCTTCATAGAAAACGAAAAAATTCTGAGAAGACGCTGGCAGGGCTATTCACTTGTGTGATCTGTCATGAATTGTCATTTGAATGTTATTTTGAACTGTGGGGCACAAGAACTTGAATCTGACAAAATGGCTGCCATATACACGTCCACTGATAGGAGACGCAGAAGTTATTAAACTGATCAGAACAACACACCACTCCTTTTTTTTGGTGAGGCTTTACAGGACAGAGTGCTTCTCCACGGGACATGTTAACTCACGGGCAGCTGGCTCATCAAGGTACCAGAGCAGCTTTCAATGTACAGGTAAGACACGTGCAGCCGGTAAGGGTTCAGGCTCTTCTTCCTGGAGGATACGCTGCAAGCCTGTTGAACGAGGTGACCTTGCTCGGGTCCCAGGTGTACGGTTCCTAAAATGGCTGCCATATACACGTCCACTGATAGGAGACGCGGAAGGTATTAAACTGATCAGAACAATACCAAACACACCACAAATAAGGTTTCTCTCCTGTATGGCTCCTCAAATGATGCTTAAGATTAGAAGCGGCTGAAAAGCATTTCTCACACTCTGAACAAAAATATATTTTTTTAACATTCACTCCACTTTGAACGAAATGACGTTTGGGAAGAGATTAACATAATTAAACACAGGCAGTAAAAATACAGTTTTTAGCCATACCCTGTAACTTTAAAACTACACATCCCATCTTCATAATTACATATTTGGAATCAGCACACTTAAAACATAAACATAACCAAAAATCAGCCAAATCCATCCAGGGTTAAAAAGTTAGCTGGAGGTCCCTTTATGACCGACCGCAAGCACATTTTCCTGCCCAAAACAGTTCCATAGATTTGGGCTGTGAGGTCGGTCTATTTCAGGCTGAAAAAACGACTAAGTCCCATCACGAATGGGACTTAGTCTCTGCAGCTGTAAAACCAGTAGGGGAGAAGGTAGAGCTCAGCGGTGTTCGCGGAAATGTGTAGCCGATTTTAGTTCCATGAATTTGGCTACACATACCGCTGACCTCGTCGAATGATCAAAGATGGCCGCCGCCACGTGTTCGGCAAACTAACAAAGACCTCCCAGCATTGTCAATTAAGCTGCGGTTAACCGCAGCTTCTGGGAGGTAAATTGCCTGCACACTTCCACTTCTGGGTGGTCTGCCTGTGTGGTACTTGGTTCAGTAAGCCCCATTTACTGAACCAAGTGGGAATTAGCCAGGCAGGCACAAAGGGTTTGCACCAGGTCTGGGGACACAGGGGACACCGTCTTAAAGGGGCAGTGTCCCCAACAAGTCTGGGGACACGGCCTTAAAGGGGCAGTGTCCCAATCTTCCTGATGTCCCAAAAAGGTGTTTAAAGGGCCAGCACCAGTCACATAAAGAGTCCATAAGCCCCAATATGCCCACCGACAGTCTTAAAGGGCCATACACACCAAATAAAAGTGCATACATTTTCACAATCTCCCAGGGGCCATAGTCATGCGGGAGGAGGCTGGCAAAGAGGCTTCTCCACAACCCAGGGAAGCAGGGCAATTTGCCATTTAAAGGGCCCGTTACAAATAGCAGTTTGTAACAAGGTGTCAATCCATATCTGCCAAGTGACCCGATGTAGGGGGACCAGTCCCTATTCTGCTCTGTGTCAGTGTGTATCAGGGAACCTTAGGACAGGTGTCAATCCATATCTGCCAAGTGACCCTATGCAGGGGGAACAGTCCCTATTCTGCTCTGTGTCAGTGTGTATCAGGGATCCTTAGGACAGGTGTCAATCCATATCTGCCAAGTGACCCTATGTAGGGGGACCAGTCTCTATTCTGCTCTGTGTCCGTGTGCATCAGGGGCTCTGAGGACAGGTGTCAATCCATATGTCAAGGTGTCAATATGTCATATGTCAGGTGTCAATCCATATTGATTGTGATTTAGGAATGTTAGGTGATTTCTGCCCTTTATGGATTAAAACCAGATTCTGTATCAACTGTGTAATTTTCCATGGGAGTTTTGCCATGGATCCCCCTCCGGCATTCCACAGTCCAGGTGTTAGTCCCCTTGAAACAACTTTTCCATCACTATTGTGGCCAGAAAGAGTCCCTGTGTGTTTTAAAATTCGCCTGCCCATTGAAGTCAATGGCGTTTCGGGCGGTTCGCCGGTTCGCAAACATTTGCGGAAGTTCGCGTTCGCCGTATCACTAATTGGGAAGTCTGTGATTGGACAGGCACAGAACGTTTAGTTGGGGTTAGAAGAGGAGGGCTTGCAAAGGCTGTAGATAAGAGATGTGCAACTTTTGAACACTGTTTTTAGAGACACCCCCAATTAAATAATGCTTTGAATGCAAATATTTTCATTAGGGAATTTAGTACACAGGTATTTTTCTTTTGGATTTTGGCAATGGAGGGTTCCTTTAAGAAATCTATGGATTTTGACCTTTGGCATGTTAAAGCGGTTTGCTCTAAATGTTTGTGTCTTTTGTATGTGAAATGTAGGTGTTTTGCTCACCTCAGAAATGTAGCACTTAATCGGTGTGGATGTCAGTATGGCCATGGAACTCATTCTCTATGTTAACCATGTTGTGGGTGAGGTTTTCTGAATTAATGTTGCCCAGCAGCTGTGCTCTGATGGAAAACAACATGAAAACACACAGTCCATTAATTTTACAGTTGCATAAAAGCTCAAAGCAGGAGGATAATTCATTTGGGATATAAACTGACTTTGACCAATGTTTGCAACTGTGAGTGGAGGACATTTTTTTTTTCTATACTGCTCATATGTTGCTCAAGAATCAATGGAAATGTATTGAAGGAAAATCATGGCTGCCTTGCTCATGAAAATTGCAAGGTGTGAGAAATTCAAATAAACATAAATGTCATTTTTTCAAACACAAACAAAAACTTTTATGCAATAATAAGTAATTTTCAGTGTTTTCAAAATTTCCTGGTATTTCTCATTTAACTGCATTGGGAAGTCTGTGATTGGACAACACAGAAAGTGTGATCTAGCGAAGAATAGGGGGCTTGCAAAGGCAGCACACATGCTGCTTTTAGATATACCCGCAATTTAAAATGCATAAATAAATGCATGCACATTTTGATTGATAGGCTAGTGTGATTATTTTACATTTCAACCTAGGGGATACAGATATCTAATATACTTCATTTCCAAGCCATAGCACAATGAGACACAAACAGTGAGTTAAAAGTCTCTGAAGCAGGTAAATAATTCAGTTGTTTGTCAGTTCATTGCTCCACAGCATTTAGTGAACAAACCCCATAGTAAAATATTTACTGTCTGTCTTGTGACAAGCAGACACCAATGTTTGTTTTGGGTTTTTTCTATGCTTACCGCATTTCAAATGGAAAATTTTAGGTTGCCTTTATCAAATATTTGCTGAATGGAAAAGTTATTGAGGTAATAATGACAATATTCACAACCTAATGATGTACAGTTGCAAGAAAAAGTATGTGAACCCTTTGGAATTATATAGTGGCCCAGTCAGAGTCCTGACCTGAACCAGATTGAGATGCTGTGGCATGACCTCAAGAAAGCGATTCACACCAGACATCCCAAGAATATTGCTTAACTGAAACAGTTCTGTAAAGAGGAATGGTCAAGAATTACTCCTGACCGTTGTGCACGTCTGATCTGCAACTACAGGAAACGTTTGGTTGAAGTTATTGCTGCCAAAGGAGATTCAACCAGTTATTAAATCCAAGGGATCACATACTTTTTCCACCTGCACTGTGAATGTTTACATGGTGTGTTCAATAAAAACATGGCAACATTTTATTCTTTGTGTGTTATTAGTTTAAGCAGACTGTGATTGTCTATTGTGACTTAGATGATGATCAGATCACATTTTATGACCAATTTGTGCAGAAATCCATATCATAAGGGTTCACATACTTTTTCTTGCAACTGTATGTGCAATATTGAGCATATTTCTCCCCTCACTCTCCAGTGTAAGTAATAGCAAGTAGAAAGATTCCAGAAATAACAAATTTGAGTACTAAGTGTAATGACATGAAGGGGTGCTGCCCTGGAACAGCACTGTCACTTTAAATGTGGGAACCCATACAGCAGAGAAATAAATGCCAAGACACAAATAAATAGGATAAATCAAGAGATATATATTTACAGGAAACCAAAGGAAAACGCAAAACAATATATACACACACACACACAATGCCACAAAATATATACAGTAAATCAAAATTAGTACTAATCATGCAGGCAACAAATACTGTAACAGTCCTTGGGTATAAGGGTAGGATTGTGCAGCTACCACGAGTAACAGGTAGGGCACAGATCCAGAGTCACAAGACTAATATAGGGACATCTGCAGTCACAGGATCACTGGTAGTAAAGCCGGGACCACGGAACCAGAACAGAGGACCAGAGGACACAACAACGAAGGACCAGGAGGACACAGGATGAAGACCAGGAGACACAGAACACAGGAGCCAGGAACACAGGAAACCTGGGAAACAGGAAACAAAAGGCAATGATCTGGCCAGGAGTGAGGGGAGAACCCAAACTAAATAGGTGCTAAACAAGGACCAGGTGAAGTGCTTAATAAAAGGAAATCAGGAACAGTGATGAGTATGAGTACTGCACAAGGGCAAATCAGCTAAGGAGTGTCGTGACAGTACCCCCCCGCCCCCCTTAAGGAGCGACTCCTGGCGCTCCAAAACCCCAAGATCCCCCACGGGTGAAAGAAGAAAAACAGGGTCACCCAACCAGTAGAGGAAAACAAGGAGGAGGTTCAGGAGGAATAAGAGGCGGAGAATCCCACGGGAGAAACCAACGAGGCAGAATAGAAACATACAAGAGCAAGGACTGTAGAGTAACATTTAGCATTAGAACGGCAGACACATAAACAGAAATTAAAGGCACATACGATAAGAAACACTCCTTACCAGTGATCGACAAATGTGCTAACCCACTAGATCTGGGACTATTGCTGGTAACAGGTGCATCACTCAGAAGTCCTGGGTCTGACTTGGTTTCTGGCTTGTAAGATCCTTGGAACAAAGACTGCGATGCAACTTCTGTAGAAGGGAGAACAGTCTCTGCATTATCTTGGGTAGATACAACTGGAATCAATCGAGGAGAATCCCCTAAACCAGCGAGTACAGGATCAGGAGCACTCTGCGAGCCCTCCTCATCAGACCGCAGATATGCATCAAGGAACGGTTCCCCCAATATCTCGGAGCATGGGGCCAGCCGAAGCAGGGACGATTCTCTCTCAAATTGATATAATTCTGTAACTGCTAGAGATACCTGGTTACTTAAATCATTCTCTTCTTCACTTGTGAGCTCAGCTTGAGGTAGTTCTTTACTTGTCATAGAAGTACTCTCAACTGAAGGCAAGTCTTCTTTTAATACTTGCTGGCGTTTAGGTGGAGTGACAGACATCATGGCAACTGATATGTCATAGAAGGAGCTTCCTTCATCATGGGAACAGGTACCGGATATGTGGATGCTACCTTCTTGTTCGGTTTCACTCACTTATTTTGGAGTTTGGTTAAGTGGCTGATTTGAATAATCTTCGACGCTTGGTTCAGGTACAAGTGTGGTAGTTGGTGTTTCCTCTTGCAGCAGAGAAATTGTTCTACCAGAGCATGTAACTTGAAGAACAATATTAGACTTACATAGAACTGTAGAGTCTTCTTCAGACTGTGGGTTCAGAACAAGCCCGGTCTCATTTAGATCCTTTTCTTGGGCTTGATCCATCACGGGTTTGTCACGTTGCACCAAGTCTGACTCTTTGTCTTCTATTTGAGGATAATAGTCTTTACTTGGCGACAATTCATTTTTCACAGTTGCGGTTGTGAGAGAGGTGCCAATCTTCGAACCCCCAGAGGTAGAAGGGTTAAAATTGGAATCATCAAGCCTCTCCACATCAAAGTCATGAGCTGCCTTTGGCACAATAACCTCTTCTTCCACTGGTTGCTCTGAAGCTTTCACCTTAGGTTTTTCAGCATTCTCAGACAGTGTTTTGAAAGAAGTAGGTCGTTTACCATGTTTCCTACGTGGTGTCTTTTTGATAGGAGGATCATCTTCCACGAGATTAGTCTCCAATTTCAATGGTCCAGTCTTGTCGTCACTTTCATCACCTGGAGCAAATTTTATAGGTGACTCTTCCAATTTTGAGTCTCCAGTATTAGATGACTCAGCCATGTCTATTTGATCTGAGTCAAATTTGTAGGATGACTTGGGAAGAGGTGGAGAAATTGGAACCTCTGATTCCATAGAGTCAGTATTTGGGTTGACACTTACAGTATCGAATGCTTTGTCCTTTGTGGGACAAACTTCCAGATCAGATCCAGTCACCTGGTCAAGGTCACAGGTGGTCTCCTCAATTGTCACTGTGAGGGAGGAATTAGTATCTCTGGTTGCAGACTCAGGGGAGTCTATTTCTGCTTTGTGGCTGGGCAGACTTTGCTTGAGACACTCTCTGACCAGACTTGTACCCTCCTGAACAGTGTTGAGATCGTTCATCTTGGTAGTCGGTATTCTCACTTTGGGAATAGGCGAGTGGATCTTGCAGAAAAGAGACTGTGGTAGAAGGGTACTACGGGTCTCTGGTACTGAGATATTAGGAAACTGCGTACTGGTACTACCTCCACATTCAGGCTGCTCGTCCTCCTGAGCTGCTATGCAATGAGCACCCAGTTCATCAAAGACCCGGTCCATGAGGGGATCGCCAGTGCTATATAACCCTTCAACATCGTCGTCTTCAGTTTGGGCTGGAAGGCATTCAGCTTTAAATTCATGAGGAATTTCGGTTTTGCAGTCGGGAGGATCAGCAAGCCTTTTGTCCAAGTCAGAGTCAGGAGGATTAGGGATGCTATGCAAATTAGGAAAGGGAATGTAAACATATGTATCAGACATAAAGACACTCATCCTTTCCTGTACTAGATCAATAAGAAATATAATTTCGGGAATCAAGGCAATGTAATTATTGTGCATAACTCTTAACTGTTTCTGCATAAACGATAAAGATTTGTTACGTGATGTTTCTTTAAGAGACACACAAAGAAGTTCATTCACCCTATTTAACACAGTGGGCTTTCTCAACCATTTTTTGCAATTAGGTAGCAGAGAAAGCAAAGGGTCACATATTTGTTTGTGATAAATTTGCAGTTCAGTGATAAGTCCACATAATACAGATTTCTGAACTTGGAAAGAAACAGTTATAGTAGACAAGCAGAGGGCAGATGCCTTTTCTATCTGCCGCTGGATATGTTTTAACTGATCATAACATGTCTTAATGAGAGCATACTCTTGCTGTGAATCAGCGTTATTACCAACAATTTTATCCATCGTGATCCTGGACATTATTCTCTGCTGGTTCCAAATGGCCAGATCATTCTGTAATGACATGAAGGGGTGCTGCCCTGGAACAGCACTGTCACTTTAAATGTGGGAACCCATACAGCAGAGAAATAAATGCCAAGACACAAATAAATAGGATAAATCAAGAGATATATATTTACAGGAAACCAAAGGAAAACGCAATATATACACACACAAGGCCACAAAATATATACAGTAAATCAAAATTAGTACTAATCATGCAGGCAACAAATACTGTAACAGTCCTTGGGTATAAGGGTAGGATTGTGCAGCTACCACGAGTAACAGGTAGGGCACAGATCCAGAGTCACAAGACTAATATAGGGACATCTGCAGTCACAGGATCACTGGTAGTAAAGCCGGGACCACGGAACCAGAACAGAGGACCGGAGGACACAACAACGAAGGACCAGGAGGACACAATAACGCAGGATCAGGAGGACACAGGACCAAGTCACAGCACGCAGGAGCCAGGAACACAGGAAACCAGGGAAACAGGAAACAAAAGGCAATGATCTGGCCAGGAGTGAGGGGAGAACCCAAACTAAATAGGTGCTAAACAAGGACCAGGTGAAGTGCTTAATAAAAGGAAATCAGGAACAGTGATGAGTATGAGTACTGCACGAGGGCAAATCAGCTAAGGAGTGTCGTGACACTAAGTTAAAGGGACACTCCACTAACTACAAAATAAATAAATAAATCAGTAGTTAGTAGATATTCCTCAAATGAAAACTTGCTTGCATTTAAAAATGCATTTTTTTCATTGGAGACATATCTAAAAACAGGTGCAAAACCTGCAATTCCCTTGTCTATTGCCTTTGCAAGCCTGCCCCTTCTAACCCTGCCCAGACTTTCTGTGTTTGTCCAATTACAAACTTCCCAATGCAACTCAATGAGAAGTCTTTGCAAGGGAGGGGCTCTGAGCAATTGTTGCATCTTGAATTTAGCTCCGCTGAGCTGACCAAACAAGGAAGTAGCAAGACCTGTTGTCTGCTTAAAAGCCAAGGGGGTGTTAATTTATAAAAGTGTTATTTTTTGGCAGATTAAAAAAAAAAAAAAGGACACACTCTTCTCACAAAAAGCTTTTTTCAGCAAGCAGGTGCTTTAGGTGTCTGAAGTGTCCCTTTAAGTATTTGATAACAGATGTATTTGGCAGATTTGTGATCTAGTCAGGTGAAATACATAAGTCTACACAACCATACAGTATCTCTCTTAATTACAGTCCAGAACTGTGTGATTACATATTGCACAGAGTCTCTATGTGGTTGAATAGGATTTAATGGTGGCTCAAATATGATTTTGTGCCCTGACCCAACTGTTCCCCAAAATGTCCTCATAATAATCATGGGTACCTTAATAAATAAATGTTTTCAGTTCCTCATAGCGTGATGTTCTAGACCTGGCTTCCCCAAACTCCGGCCCTCCAGATGTTGCTGAACTACAGCTCCCATGATTCTCAACTTATCTATTTCATTCATGGAATCATGGGAGTTATAGTTCAGCAACATCTGGAGGGGCAGAGTTTGCGGAAGCCTGTTCTAGACACTTCGACAGGGGTAGGCAACCTTCGACACTCCAGATGTAGTGGACTACATCTCCCCGATGGCTGTAAGAGCATTATGGGAGATGTAGTCCACAACGTCTTAAGTGCCAAATGTTTCCTACCACTGCACTAGTATATCAAATGTCATAACTGGTTTTGCCCTATGGGCAAAATGTGTACATGTGCAAGGCATCCTTGTTTTCTCTTTCAACACAGCCCTATTCCGGCAAATGAACAAAGCAAGAGGGAAATAAATAAATAAATGTGCAGTGACTGTAGGTTGATACAGGAAGTTATAGTACAAAATCAGCGGGTGATCTAACGTTTGACTGACCTTGCCCTAAAGCCTTTAGACCTAGGGCTGGATTTTACAGTAGGCAGATAGAGCATCACATGTGCTTACTCCGCCTGTTAAAATCCATTAGTGCTTTGCTGCATTCCCAGAAAGCAAAGACCAAACTGAAGCTGCGACTGCAGGATAATTGTGCTAAGTCTGGGAGAGCCTGATCTTGCCCTCTCGGACGAGCACAGCTTTCTCCAACAAAGACAAATGACAGGACTAGGGCCAGAATGGACACGTCCACTAAAGTCATGCAGGTACACATAAACACACTTCTATGCACACCCACACAGTTACACACTAGTACACTCAGTACTACACAAAGCCATAATAGGACATACACACGACACTACTACACATGCTGCTACAAACACAGACATAAAATACACACAGACAGACACACATAGTTAACATGTTTGTATGTACATACTACATTATTTTAAATCAATTCTAACTTATTATATTTGTTTGTTATTTTAAGTTTTGAAGGGTGGGGTTTGCAACGCTTAAAAATTCTCTACGTACAGGTGCTAGAGAATTTTATAAATACAGGCCTGTCCAGACCTTACAGTTGGCCTCGGGTAAAACAGTCTTACGTAGGTAAGAAAATCCTACACAATTCTTTCCTCAAATGAAGAAATCTTGCCCATTCACATCACCTTTCTATTTCAGAACATCTTTTAGCTCGATTTGCATGTCTTTTGTCCCTTTAAGGAAAGATTCTGAGGAAAAGAACATTTAAAGCTTCTAAGTATCAATATTGTTTTTACTTTTTTTTGTATTTGCTTGTTTGTTTGTGTAAAGAATATTCTGAATTAAAAT